AGGATCGGAAAACCTCAACTGAAGGAATCCCTCTGTTCCATGTGTTCTCTCTTCTTCCAGAAGGTAACCAAGAATTATTCACATGGTGATTTCATAAGGATTCTGAGAGAGAGAGAGAAAATGAATAAGCACAAGATTTTTGAGGCTAAGACTCACTACATATGCCACATTCTATTTATCAAAATAAATATTAATACCAAATCAGATTTAATAGGTAAGGAATTAGACTTCACCTCTTGATGAAATGAACTAGAAGTCATATTTTGATGCAATCTGTAAGTAGGGAAAATATTAATTGTAGATATTTCTAGAAACAACACGCACACACACATGCACACACACACAGCCTCAGATTTCTCCGAAGTTAAGTTGCTGACTTGACAGTATCAGTGAGGGTCTTAACTCTATTCTGCTTTAGCCAGTATAGACCAAATTCAAATTTGGTAAAAGAACATTTGTACTATATATAACATAGCCATGTGTCTTTTGTGAATTCTCATGGATTTAGTGTTCCAGTCAAATAATCTTTTTTCTAATGATGATAAAAATACAGTAACCCACTGGGAATAGATATAGTTACTATAATCACTAAAAAGAACTATGTTAACCATAGTTGGGATTTTTCCTCTGTTTTTACCATGCATTTAAAGTCAGTTTTGAAAGATATGACTTATTTAGTGTTACTTAACTTAGAAGTTTCTCAACATAGAGTATAATGAATGTTTAGGATGTTTACTCAAATTTAGAATGAGTAGCATCCTGTGATCTTTTATGAATATAAGAAGATCACTTGAAAGAAAATTAACATCGCTTTCATTAATTTGCTAATTCATGTGCAAGGAAAATGCTCATAAAGACTAGATACCATTCTTTCAAAAGTCACTTTTTCAATTTTCCTTTACTAAAGTTAAATAGAGAGGATTTGTCAGTACAGTAAAGATGGTTGGTTTCCTTTGCTGATGTGGGCAGGACTATTAATTACATTTCTGAGTTTGGAACTGATCCTTCTGGTCACCGTGATGTGTCATTGAAACAGACCTGTTAAAATGAGTGATGTGTGTTGTTATTTCATTAGTGTCATCAATAATGTATTGTACTTTCCTTCCAGAAGTCTCTTTGTGTTGTGTGTGGGTCAGGATGACTATATGAATTACATTTATAAGATCCAAATTGTTACAGATGAGGGAAGATAGACATGAGGGTGGAATTAATGTTATTTTAAATATAACTACTAATATGATTTCAGTTAAATAATACTTTAAGTATGATATCTCCACATGCCATACTGAGATATATGTTTTGTGTATGCAGATAAGATAGTAATTTATTAAATAGTAATGCTATTTATTCCTTATGCAAGTAAAGATTTCTGAATTGGACTGAGGTTGGTTTATGTAAGTACAGGAGTGTTTCACTAAGGAAAAAAATTTCTTGTGGTTGTAAAGGGTGTGCTGCCGACATGAAAACCCTTCTATATTATTTTCTCACTTTCCATCCTGTTTTCCTGCCAGACATATGTCACTTTGACTGGCTGTTGGTTGAGTCTATCTTACCCTGAAATTTACAAGTCTATCAATTTAAAGGGAGAGACACATTTGGGCACTCTGGTATAGTAGTATAAATTGTTGAAGTCTTTTAACTCCATTGCAGTGAGGTTCGATTGTGAAGACATTGCATGAAAAAGCAAAGAGCTTTTAGCTTATAAGATTTCACTGAAGGCATTGATATAATTGATTTTTTTTAAATACAGGAAGTATTTACATAATTAAAAATGATATGCATAGTTTTGATTCTAGGGATGATCCTAGAGTATTTAGATTTAATAACTGAAAATGGAAGAAAGTTCTTAGAACTAGAAATACACGGAAATTTACATGATGAAATGTAGAAATGTGGCTGGGATTGCTTTCATCTTCCATTCAGATATTAAAAATAACAAAATAACAAACATAATGTTAGTTGTTTTTTTTAAAAGGTACCCAAAACGTAAATTTATTTATTTTAGATAAACAGAAAGCCAAAGGCATTTTACTCAAACTATTACAGATATTAAATAGGAAAATATGAGCGACATTTAAAAATCAGTAGAAGAAATTAACCATCTCATGAAAATTTAAAGATATTTTTGTTTCCTCTAATTTTTTTTCAAGGTAAAGCTATCTATCAAGATGAAAAATATGTTATTTTTTAAAATGTACTTTTTAAATTATATCAGTTGCTACCACAAAAGCAGGTTTTCTCTTAAATTATGATGAAGTAGACTAGTCACGTCAGCTAGAATCGATAGCTTTATGCTGATTTGTATACCATTTGAGTAGAAATATGAGTGTTTATTTTACATAATAGCACACCACAGCCTACTACTTAAAACATGTAGCGTATGGAAAGTATGTGTAGCTCCTTATAGAATTTTGCACACCAGAAAGAACGATTTCTATTCTTATGACTTGTATAAAGGAAAGAATGTTGATGTGTTAGGGAAGGTAACTGGTCGAATACTCCAGGCTCCAACCCATTGGTCGTTAAGAAATACATATTGCTTTTTATTTAAAACAAACAAGCCAGTGATCATTGTATTTCCTCAGCTTTAGAGCTAAACATACTTCCTAGGATGTAATTTTGTTCTTCTACATTACCTCTTTTCTATATATTTTATAATAGCTATAAATGAATTTTTACATAAATATATTAGAAACAGAGTTCATTTTTAAATGGGTTGCCATTGAAGGATTAATCCTGTAACCTTTGTGAGCATGCTTTATTAATATCTTATCATTACATTGAATATTAATAATAGTTAACATTTAATAACCATAGAATGTATGTGTAGAAATTTATTACATTCCTGTAGGTTTTGAAAAATGTGGAAAAGTCACCATAACAACCCCTTTATCATTAAATATGTGTCCTGTAATATGTTAATTGAGAGGTAAAACTAATTTTAGGGGTGTTTATGGAAAACCAGGCATATGATTTTTTTTTTTTTACCAGTATGTGATGAAGGATAAAAATTTAGAAAATATCTACTGTTCTTTGGAACTCTGGAAATATATTTGGACAAAATAATGTGAGGAGGGAATTCAAGTCATAAGTACTATGAAAGATGATTATCATACTGATTTACATTTTACAGGTAAAGCAGGCTCAATTGTCCACAAAAGTGTTTTGTTTTTCAATAATAAATTATATAAAATTCATATTAACTGTTTTTACTCTCAAAATACTTTTGTTATTATACCTGTTTTTGTCAGGAATGTACACATGTATATACTTCATTTTGATTATTGTTCTCCATATATGTATGTATACAAATCTATATGTATGTTTAAATGATTTTCTTTAATAAATGTAAATGTGATAGATAAGTATCCTTACACTAAAAACCCACTCATTTTTAAAACATGCCAATTAAAAATAATGTTAATATAATGTAAGTAGCTTCCAATTAATTTCTGTTGTGTAGAGTATTTGAGACTACTCAAGACAATTTCATCACCATTTGGGGGGAAAAAAATGGCTGCATTGTTTCCTGTATATTATTTGTTTCGTTTCTTTGTTCCTCCCTTTAGTGATAAAAAACTGATATAACATATTGAAGGAAACTTTCATAAAGCATTTTGTTAATTCTTATTATTTTTTCATGTTGATATAACCAAAGAAGCTTAATTTTTTATACATGAAACACACAGACACATACTTGCACATCCATATATAATTTCTTATGTGATTACTTTAGCATGGTCCAAAGGATTCTTCTGAAAATCTCTTTAACAGTAATTCTTTTGGACTAGAATAGAAATGCTTACAGGGTGTTCTACTTCTGGGTTACCTAAATTGATATAATTTACACAGATATTATTGAGGTTCTACAAAATCTCTATCACTGACCGAAGGCTGCAAAAATGTAAGTATATTCAATCACTAGGAATCAAGACCTTCTGTTTATGACACTTACTTTTACTCAACACAAATATACTGTTTCTCAACCCTGAAATGAAAGATGGTGATATATGTTGAAAATATGGGACCAGGGATTGCAGCTGGGAAGATGGTATAAAGATGAAAAAGATTTCCTTTCCCCCCTTGTAAGTTCTTAGCCTGTTTTAATGGTTGCATCGACATAAGAACAGATTAGCAGGAGAAAAACAAATTTAATCAAAAATATGATACCAAAGCACAATCAGTCACTCAAGGTTCATGGGTCATCTTAAGCTAAGGAGAAGGGGGTAGGAATCTGGGACAACAGAGGGAAGACATTTCACAGGAAGGTGGAAAGAGCAGGTGTCTGGGGAACATGTAGTAATAACATGTACCACATATAATAATAACATCATGTAAAAATAAGCAAAAGTTATCTCCAGTAATGGGTTAGTATTGGTTGGTCTCAGTCTCATTTATTGTAGGCAAGAGAGCTAACAATATTTTCTTTCTGACACTATAAGGCTTTGATTGTCTTCAGCTACATATTATCTTCATGCCAAAGTGTCATATTTTAGGATAAAGTATTCTCTTCCCCCTCACTGAGGACCTGAATATCATCAGAGTCCAGTTGAATGTGTAAGAAAAAGATGAATTTCAGGGTTATGAAAGAAGATTAGGAGACTTCAATGCCTATCTTCTTCTCTAGAGTTTCTCCCAGAATGTATTTTACCACTGACATAACATAGTATATTTTACATATTGATTTTCCTTATACTTAATAGAAATTAATTTAAAAGCCTCATAAATTCAGTTTCAATTTTTTTTTAAGCAAAAACTATTCTTTCACAATGGCAGTGTGTATTTCTGTCTGGATCTACATGTCTGATTCTCTTTTTCTCATCACTGTAGGAAATTTTTGATTAGCAAATCTATATCCATTCATTATAGGTTGAAAATTTGATGTTGTATTTTTATAATTTATTGCAAATATGACTACTTCATGGAAATATTTGTCACAGTGTTTAATATGAAAATAGCATAAAGTGCAATGACTTCACACACTTCATATTTCTTTTTAGAAACATCCTGTATCACCTTGATGAGAAGACAAGCCAGTTTTCAATACTGCTGGAGGCTTGGGAGCACTGCAAGTCTCTTGCATCGAATGAAACCCTTCAAGAAGCTCTGTCAGAGGTGTTGAGCAGCATTAATTCAGCTCAGGTTTACTTCAAAGCAGGACTTGATGTGTTTGAGAGTGTCTTGGTTGGAAAGAACTGAGAAAACTCTCGGCATTTTTAAAAGTTTGTTTACAACTCCTCAAACAAAAACTCTAATCTGACCAGATTTTCTAAAATTGAGGACTTTTCCCCCACCATGGCTTTTTTCAGAAAACTAAAGCTATTGTTACTTTGTATTTTTAATGTACATATAAGAAGAGCATTTTGCACATTTAATATTTTCTTATATTTGCATATATGAATGTGGTAAAACAAGTTATTGAAATAATACTTGAGATTTATCTATTGAAAGAAATCTGATAAATATATATAAGTAAATAATATTATGTGTGTGGGGGGGGGATTCCAAGTATTTTTGGACAATCTTTGCTCCTATGGATAAAACACATAGGAAGAGAAGTTATTCCCCAAATGAGAGCTATTAATGACCTAGTTTCCATAACGGAAACGGAGAAACGATGTGGTTTCAGATTACTTTCACTATTAAGTATTCAATATGAAGAATTGGAGTATTCTGAGTGATTGGTTGACCAAATCCTCTTTGAATGTTTCTATTTTATGACATGAAGTGCCTGTTCTTAACAAAACTAGATGTAGTAATACACTGGTTATGAAATTGTATTTTTTTAAGTATTAATGAAAAAAAGAGCCATAAACATTCCCCGGGAAAATCTCAAGGTAGCTGCAAAGAGCAATTTAAATGCAAATTTTCCCTAACAACTTAGAAGGTGACTAGCTTTGAAACCCTTAATTTGCCTCAGTTGATTTTGTAGAAATTTCAGGAGTGATGTATGTCTTATGAGGGAGAAAATGTTTTTATTTCTTCCTGTGTTTGTTTCTGGTGGAAAAGAAATGAAACAAAGCTACTCTAAAATGAAAGCATATCACGTTGTTCTTACTTCTTGTATCTTTGCTGAAGCTCCTTGCTGTAAGGCAGTTTTCATGGAATATTATATAATTTCCACAAGGAAGTAGCAAAGCTTCTCTTTAAAAACTCAAAATATCTTAGAAAGCAACAAATTGCTATTTCTGCCACTGGTAAAAGTGCATTCTATAAATTAAATTGTTGTTTTGATTGATGAAAAACTTAAATCTATGAAGAAACTTTTGGTAATATTTTTCTTAATCTTAATTGTGCCTCAGATGAAAATGCAAAAAGTAAGCATACCTCTAATTTGATGTGCAAAATACAGTGCTACGTTAAGAGTGTGTCATTCTTATGTGTCACTGGTTCTCTCAAAGGAAGCTTCTTGTATTGATATTATCATTGAATGGCTCTGGCAACCACTATTTCCAGAAGCCCCAGCTTTCTGTCTACTAGGTGACAGTTTAAACTTTAAGTTTACCTTTAGAAATGGATTTGAAAATGTTCTTCTTGTCTTGGATAGAGCAATTTCCTTTAGGAAACATATCCTCAAAATATTTCATGTGAATTTTCTCTACCTAAAATAACACTCACACCACATCCTGTTATGCTTTGTCAGAACAGCATTTACACATGCTACCTGGATGTCTAAGTCTTCACTTTTATGGATGAGCATAAACTTATCTTATTTTAAAGGAAAACCAACATTGAGAGGAAAGAATTCATCAATATTGATTAATTGATTCAATTAATTAACAGGGTCAACTGTTCCTAGTAGAAGGAATGTTTATATGCTCAAAGAAAGGAGAGGCTAGCGGCAATTCACTAGGTAATTCGAGCAGAAGTCCATTTTCATCTGTAATGTCTGTATGCACATATTTTCATATGAAAAATGAAAGTACTTTTTAAGCCAATCATTTCAACCAATGTAATTGTTTGTTTGAAAATATTTATATGTTGGAGACTGTTCAGAAGAGAGGGTTAAATGGACCAGACTCTGCTGCCTCAGCATCAGAACTCTTTCCAGAAGTCACACCAGAAGAGGAGTGGAACATGCAGACATAGGACAGACCAAATAATAAAATCCTTTACACCAAAGATCTTAAATGTTTTCATCCAAGTTCTTCATTTGGAGCTGAATGAAAAAATATATATAAGAGTTTATAACTTTAGAACAAAAGTCTGAGTAATATACTCTCTTCATCTCTAATAGCATTGGCAGATCCTACTTTGTTTGTATGTTTGTTGAAAGATTGTCTAACCAGGTAAACTACATTGCACAAATAAAAGTTTTAATACTCTGTTTTCTTCACTTCTAAATTATATGATTTTTCTATCTAAAAATTGAAGGTGACTATGGGCTACCATTTTTATACTAAACAATAATAACAAGACAGATGTTCACCAATTTTACCTATGCTATTCTGTATCCTTGCCTGGAACAAACCTCTTACTTGGGAGTATTACTGCTATGGTTTGATTACCTCATGCTTCCTCCATATTTATGTTATTTTAACATTTCCTTGATAGAAAATAAAAATCTTATGCATGTTAATAGTAAGTATTTTGGGTTAATTGGTAGTAGCTTTAGAGTGCTGCTGAGATATCTGGAAGTGTGATATTTCTCACCTTTCATCAGATTGTGCCAACCCATAACAAATCATACATAATTATTCCTGTAAGAAAGTGTGGTAAATGCATGTCCCTGAAATTTGGACTCAGGCAGTGAAAACATAGGATGGTGACCTTTGTGGAAATGGGTTTATTTCAGTCAAAGGAAAATTGAGGGGCATTTGGTCTAAGCCATACAATTTAGGATATTGCCTTCAGCTAGTGAAAACAACCAACTCTATCAGATACTTAAGCCAAAGTCATTAAGAAACTTGAACATAGTCACATATTTGGTTAACAGTAAGAGCAATACTGAAATCTAAGATTTTCTGCATTCTTATGCAAGCATATCTATCTCTCTCCCTGAGGTGATAGGGTTATAAAGATATTTTCTGGTGACTTCTTATAACCAGCCGTTCTATCAAATGTTATACAGGCTGGCATACCTGCATGCAATTAGGAACTAGGTTATTCTCTGTTTGATTTTTAAATTATATAAACATTAGCATGTGGTACATTTCCCACTTGAAAAAAAAATGGTATCACAAAAATAAATTAAATGATTATTTGTTAATAAGATGAATCAACATTTTTTGCTTCAGAAACTGTAACTGGTTGGTTGCACAGTAAATTGGCAGACTTTCCCAAAATATCTCTTCGTAAGACATTCTGTACTATTTGTAATTAATTACTACAAGTATTAAGCTATTCCTGAGGGTAGCACATTGTCATGTCATTGGCTTATAGGATCAAAGGCTATTTAAATGTGCCTTAGATGAATATTCCCTTAACAGAAAATAATTATTTTAAATGTCCAATCCTTAGTCAAACGGAAGGCAAATGGGTCCACATATCCCAATAAAACCTAGGGGGAAAAACAAACAATGTGATATTTGAGAAAAGAAAGAGTCTGCCCCCAACACTAGTGACTCGTTATTTCTGGCATGAATTTACATAGCTAATTTTTAAAAACCTCATTAGAATTACTGTACTGAAAGGTCTTTAAAAAAATTGCAGCAAATTATGCACCACATTAAGTGCAACTAACTTTCAGTTAAGGGAGACTAATTTATTCAATGCATACTTTCAAATGGCAAGAATTTTTAGAGTTATAAAAGAGCATTTTAAAATATAGACATTTCTCACCAACACCATGCTTACTCATTTTTTTTTTTTTGATTATTATTCTGTAGCAATGGGATTAGGCCTTTTTTTGACTCTGAGGAAAAAAAAAATAAGATCTGTTCATTTCAATATATACTTCTTAATCAACCAAAGATTTATTTCCATAATGCCCTTCCATGATCCTTCATGATGGACTCTGAAGTGCCTTTAGCATACCTGGGACTGCCAAGAATCTTGAGCCTTGCTTATTGAGGTGACATTTCACATAGACATTCATAATCTATTCAGATTGAATCTGAATTTACAAAGCAAAGGATTAAATAGAGGAAGCTTCATGTTGCATTCCAGATAAAGGAACTGCTTTAAAGTTTAATAATTTCTGTAAAGATTATTTTGTACTCAAATCACATAATTATATATATTTTTGTAACCCAAATGGTAATTTTAATGTTTTCAGCCAAACCTAATCATTGAGGCCAAAGAAATCCTATCCTCATTTCGTAAGCAGGATTCTGTCAAGAATCAACTCAGGAGCTGTTGAATCAGTGCTCACATCTAGACAAAGCTTTAATAAGTATAGACAGAAACTAACAGTATTCTGTCTAGTTCTCTGGGTGTCTTAAGCCAATCAGAATCAAGGTAGCTTTTCTCATAAGGAAACAGATTTTATTTTCCAGAGGCTAATTAACATGCATCATGTTAGCACCTAAGGGACCACACAGGTGTCTCTACTGTGCCATATGTCTGTGCTATATAAAATACAATCATTATAAGTCATTGCATTCTAGTTAATGTCAATCTTTTTTCTAATAAAAGTACAAATGTAGAATCCGAATAGAAGCTTAGTTAGAGAATGGAATTAGTCTCAATGTTAATGAACTATATATATTTTTTCTATCAGTCAAAATGTGTAATCACTTAATCATGTAGTTTTCTCAGTAAGTCTAACACACCAACTCCTATTATTCAGTTTCTATTCACTATATCATCATTCAGGTGGATACTATTTGAAGTATGCTCTAGTTGTTACAATCTTCACCATTGTCGAATCATACTTTCAATCTATCTGTTAGCATTTTATCAATATTAATAGTAATATTTTTATATCTTGTTATAACAACCTGCTACAAATGGAGCACCCTACATTGGAAGTCAGAAAAATGCTGTTACTCTATAGAGACAATTTTATCATATTTGTTTAATAAGAAACAAAGTTATAAACAAACAAAATAGTTTACTATGCTATTGTAAGTTGTCTGCAAAAAACAAAATGCTCAATTGTTTAAATATAGCTCATAGCTCACATAATTGTATTCCAAAGATGTTATAAATAATTCCACTTAGAAACTGAGATTGGGCTCTATTAGGTGATCTAGTGTTTACATTTCATACAGAAAGGCTTAATGGCAAATATGCCCCATGATTTGCAGTCTCATTTG